CCACTAACTATAAAAGGATGGGTGCCGGGGCGCGGCTGGCAAGGTCTTTTTGGCCTAGGTAGTACGCTATAAGTGATGATCAGCTAGGTGCGGTTGGGAGCTGTTGAGCTGATGAATAAACTATGTCTAGTGACGGCCGAGAGACTTTGAGTTGAAGTTTATGTACAGTTTTAATGTATCAATCAAAGATGTTTAAAAACTAGATAGGTGTACAAATTAATGAAGTGAAACCTGGACAGAAACTGGGAAAAGAAAAAGAAAAAGAAAAGAAAAAGAAAAGAAAAGAAAAGAAAAGAAAAGAAAAGAAAGCAGCTCTTTTTTTGTCAGTTAGCTAAGTTATCAGTGTTTGAGATTTAAGCTTGATGCTACTAATAATTGCTCTTTTCATCCCCCTCTTCATTCTGTAGTCTCTCTCTAATAAATTCTCTTGTAGTGCCTTTTTTTCCCCACTGTTTCACCTGTGTCTCAGGTTTTCATGGCTGACTGACAGGTTCGCAATAATGCATGTACATGTACTCCGTACATTACATACATGTACCTGTACATGTACATGTAAAGATGTTTCCCTTCTCCCATCTTCCCGTGATCATTACCCTATCACTATCACTATCATTTAGCCTACAGTAATAGTCGTAACTACAGAGTTATGTACGGAGCAGACACGGGCAAAAACGCAGCATCAATCTTAAAAAGTGTAGATCATGTTCTGCTGTCTCTTTCTCTTCTCACTAATGATATTCTTCATCGTTCAAGCTAATCATATCAAGAGAAGAAATAATAAAGTAAAGTGAAGCAAGATTCACCACTGATTAAAAACATTCTGATTAGCTTTCTGAGAGTCTGAGAGTCTAGAGCTTGACCTTTTTTTTTATTTTTATTTTTTATTTTTTTTATTTTTTTTAATGACTTTGAACAGATTCTTTCTCATTTTTACTTTCAAAAAAAGATGTATGTATGTGGATAAACACTCATATCCGGTTTTAAATCAATTCTCTGGAGCTGGAAAGTAGTTGGTTATGAAAGAAGACCTATTCTGTTTCTACATCAGTTCAATTTTCAAACTAATAAACCAGCATGCTTTTATACAAAAAAAAAAGTTCAGTCTCAGATGAGATGTCTCTTGACAATATAATAGAATTGGAATGGAATCAACTCTGGCACTGATACAGACCGCTTAAGAGTTCTAAGATGAATGATTCATAGCCATTTTACATTGAAAAGAGAGGATGAGAACACCTCTCTCACTCTCGGCGTATACATGTTTATAAGTTCAGATTATTTATAAAAAAGTAAGTAGGTGTGTGGGAACTCCTCACTGCAGCGTACAGAGCAGCGTAGAAGTTCTGCTGTTGTAAGTTAACTATGTCTGATTCCTCTTACGCGTAGTATAAGAAAAATGAGTGTTCGCCAATCTTCTCTCTGTATATATATATACCTAGGCATATAGGTATATACATAAACAAGCTCATGTATACGCGGAAGGAGTGGTCGCAGGGGCCAAAAGGGAGAGGAAGAATAGAAGGGGGAGGGAGGGGGGACAGAGCGGAAGAAGAGAGGAAGGATGGGAAGGATGGATGGATGGATGGATGGAGAGAGGTGGTGCGGAAGTTCTGCAACGCTCACGGCTAGATTTTAATGGAAACCATGTTTATCTTCTCAATTGAAAATTTTATGTTCGAAGATGGTGATATCCAGTGTGAGTAGAGAGAGAGAGAGAGAGGGAGGGAGGGAGGAAGGGAGGATGAAAGACAGGATTGAATCGAGAGTTGTTTTTATAACTGTGATGTTGACTGAGGGAATGAGAGGTTTTTGGAGGTTGGAAATGAGTGGTGGTGACTTATTATGCAGAGAAGGTTTGATGGCAATTGAATTTGAGTAGAATGGAGAATGGTGAGTGTGGAACATGGAGAGGCATCTTTTATTAAAATCAGATTGGTATATATAGTTGATTAAAGAGGGAGATGAAGGGTAGGGAGAAACAAAAGTGAAAGGGGGGAAAGGGAGGGGAAATCAAGAAAGAAAGGGGGAGAGGTAAAATGACGACATATCTCATAACAGATGACGAGAAAATAAAAATATATAGACTCAAAGTGCGAAAAATGTATAAGCCCATTGATAGTTTTTTATCAATCTATTAACCGCACATTCACTAGCAACTCTCATCCATCCCCATCCTAAACCAGGTCGAGGATGGGTTTATTCATTCCCGTTTCCTCTTTTTTTTTGAGAAGGGCACCAAATACGTCCTCCCTGCCATGAAGTATGATATCCCGTGACGGCCGCATATACGTCGATAAAACTAGTACGTATATACCTTTGAACGGAACACAAAATAGGAGCGACTCACTCAACTAGGATTCGTCGGCATCTCATACGTAACATTCTGATTCCGACTCGCATTCATCTCAGCCGGAGGACCACCATGGCCACCATAGCCACCATAGCCACCATAGCCAGGATCCTTCGCCGCACCCAGCAATTCATGAACGTCGTGCGGGTTTCCTCCATCGCCACCAGCAGCATATCCATAATACCCCTGCGCTTTCGGTTGACCTGCACCACCGCCTGTATGGAGGCTCTGCAATTCGGCCCGCCCCTGCGTGTTGTCTAATTCAGCTGCGCGCGGGAGCGCCTTGGCGCCATTTTTCTGTTTCCGGCGGTAGAAGAAGTAGGCCAGGGCGAGGATGCTGACACCCACGACGGCGCCGGCGGCGACGCCGCCTATCAAGGCTCCGTTGGATCGGGATTTCTCTGGGGCAGGTGTTGGTGGTATCGACGGTCGCGGGTCTGACTCCTGTGGGTTGTTGCTTGGTAAGTTTGGGGGTTGTGAGGTTTGCGATGGTGAGGTTTGCGATGGTGAGGTTTGCGATGGTGAGGTTTGCGGTGGTGGTGTTATGGTTGACGAATCTTTGAATAAAGCGATTGTAAGTGGTTTGATTGATAGTTTTAAGGTTTGCTGAAGGTTCCCTTTTCACGTTTTCTTCCTTCCTTTGCTTTTTCTTCCGTTTCATTTTCGGCAAGGGAGGTTTTATTTTATTTACAGTTAAACAATGGGAATCCAGGGAGCAATTGGGATTCAAAAAGGAGCGGAGAATGATATATTAGAAAGCAATGAACTTACCAGAAGCTTCAGCAGGGAGTTTGCGGTAGACTGTATATGCACTCCAATTTTCCCAACAGAAAATGTTCGTCGCAGACGGTGAGCCGCCGGGTGAAGTTTCGTAGACTGTCATGGTTGCGCAGGATTGCCGCTCCGGACTTTTTTTTCCCCAATTTGTCAGATATAAGTTGATAACAACTGTCTTGTCCGTAACCCGTCGAGGGGTAGGTGGGCTCCTTTCCCCTTCAATTTTGCCTTCATTCATTTTCTTGGAGTGCGGCACGAGGCACGTACCAGGTATATCCACCGCCGTTGTCAAATGAAACTGATGCATCTTCGCATTTAGTAGGCATCGGACATCTTGTGGTCAGCGTGGTCGCGCAGCAGTTGGCATATGTTCCAGAAGTTATCCATGACGTGTGAGAATCGCGACATGTTATCGATTCGACTATGGGTTTTTTTTCAAAGCAAAGGTTTGTGTTAGCAAACACCGGGTCAACCCAAAGAGCAATCCCATCCACAAAACATCTGTTCTGTCATAATTCCATAATTCACATGTCACGAACCTGCAGTAGATCCGTTTGTTGCATATATATAGTATCCATTGAACCAACTTGGCAGCTGCTCAGCGACCGAGAAATTTTCATTTAATAAAGCAAAGATGGCCAATGCCTTGACCAGTGTGGTTCGCATCACCGCCATCGAGCGGCGGGTTGATGAAGTAAAGTATAGAGCCAGTAGTTGAAGTCGGACTTGGGGTCAAACACAGAAATTTGAGAGCGCCGACGTTGCATCAACAGCCGGGCAGCCCGAGCCGCAAAGTTTCGAGGATTTAAGCTGATGTTGTGTGTGTATTTTCCCCGACGAGATATGGAGGAATAAAGAAGAGGTGTGAGAAAGGTCGGGACGACGAGAATTAGTGTAGCCAGGTCAGCTCAGGGCCAACAGTGCCAGCATTATTATTTTTCCTCTCTGGCTTTCCCTTCCAATGTCCAATGCCACTCTACTACCCTGTGCCCTTGTGCTATTCATGGAACTTCATGGAGTCCGTCTCCTCCGCCCCCCAGCGGTTGTGGCACTACAGGTGCACACATCAACGCTAGCAACAAATAAGAGGCCGCTCACCCAACCATCCCTGAGTCAATGCGCCAGATTCATAGGGGGTGAGAAGGGGGGCTGAATTATTATTATTGCTCAGGTCAGGCTCATAAAACCATTTGGTTTGGTGATACGTCGTGCGTAGCCCGCCAGGCATAAATTCCCATGAGTGCTACCGGGAGGCAAGCACTCTGTACTGTTCACCATGAACATGAAAAGGGTGCAAACTTTTCCTTACGCAGCGTACAGCGTATGCATGCAAGAGCGTAGCGTAGCGTAGCGTAGCGTAGCGTAGGGTTGAATAAATGTTGAATACTATGTCATGTCATAGTCCAATAATTATTAATGATCCGCTCGATGCAACTTGCTGGCTGCAACTTTGGGCGTTGAAGATCGTTGTTGGGCGGGATGTTGAGCCAATGGGGAGTTGTGCAGACCGAGCCCCTTGGATGGCCAGTCACGTGATACCAAGCTTGGTCACAATGGAGCAGTAGAGCAACCAATAATATGGGGCGCTGATTCGGGTCGGGGTTCATCATTCATTCATTGCCTTCATTTCATTGCCTGCTGCTTTACCCAGTTCACCCAGCGCGGAAACTAAACAGATAAGTTACTAATTATTTAAATGTGGTCGACCAACCGGCGGCTTATATAAAAAATCTTAACTAACTTAAAGAGTGCTAACTATCCCGGGTTGCTTTCCTTGGCAGGTCCAGAGTACTCCGTACAGTTTCACCCACAGAAGTTCTCAACCCATGTTCAATGAATTATCATTCTATCGGAAATTTTCTTTCCTTAAGGGGGGGGGAGCATTAAGGACCCGACCCCTCACGCAGCCAGGGTAGCGATTCCATCATTTCAAAAGCCCCCTTTTTAGTTTATCAAAGTCCCTCCCTCCATGATGAAAGCTGCAAAAATTTGTCGCCTAGCTACTTGCTAATCACGGCCCTTAAGGAGGATAATGTGTTTTGTGTCCAGCTGGGTCAGATCAACTGTGCAAATAGACAGTTCGATGAATAATATGACGGCCCCAGGCTTGCCAAAAGTTTACGAAAGAAGTGCAGATTCAGGGAGAACGTCTTCGAAGAATGCTGTTGAAGTGATTGATCCGCTTTATTTTGACTCTCAGAACCAGGCGATCATGCTGCTGCTGGAGCCCTCTGGACAAGTCCACTCTGGGATGCGCAAGTGCCATGGCCATTATTGTTGACTGGAGAGCTCCCGTTTCTGTGACCCGTTTCTGTGAGAGAGAATGCCATTTGGTCTGGAGACGATACGATACGTATCTAATAAGGCTTATCTCTGTGCATGTTCACTGAAGAAGGCCTGTCCTGGATGTTAAATTGTGAAGAGTGGTATTTGGGACACTGCCTTGCCTCATGAGGAATGATTACTTCCACTGTACATATACTTTAGCCTCCTAGTGTTTCAATAATTGAATCTCGAACAACTGTTATATTCATTTTGTCCTGGGATATTTGTGAAAAGTAATTGACGAATAGGCCTGGGCTTAAATGATCGAAGGTGCCCTGCTTCTCTACCAAATAACCACCTCTCCTCTCCCCATAGAGGAGAAAAGAAAAATCTTTCTCCGATATTCATTGGTCGTTAGATACAACAGCCCAATAGCCCAAGTCGATTCTCAAACGAACCACCAATGCCCCGCTCCATAAAGCCGAGTGCCCACATACGCCAAACCGAGGAGAAGAGCTAGATCATTTACCAGTTGTTGGATATTGAGGTGGTTGGTTGTAGGGCTTCGGCACACTACGATATAGGCAGGGACGATTGAGAGGGAGTATGCGCGGAACAGGGAGAGAGAGAGAATGGGATGGAATTCTTTTCATGTCGTTTGCAACGAACATCCCCAAAGATCAGCCGTCGACGTTGGATCCCTCCCTCCTTTGTCAATTAGTATGTAGGCTAGGGGATGGATGTTGGCTTAAAAAACCCATCGAGGACGAAAAGAGTAAGTTTCGCAAGAACCTGAAGAAGATGGGTGTCGCTATTGTGCTCTAAATGATACCCCTCTTGTTATTATATATCATAGACAATGTCTAACGAAATCAAAGAGCCCATTAAAGCAAGATGATCGGGAAGCTAAATGGAGATATATGGAGGTTTCTTCTAATTTCTTTGCCTGCGCTATATAAAAGAATAAGAAAGCCTCAATGCTATTGCATTTTTTATCTCAAGAGCGTGTGGATACATGGAGATATGGTCCCCCTTTATCACGCTTTATTTTTCGTTCTTCTTCCAAAGACATTGTCAATGACACAGAGACCTGAAACCCCGGTTGGTTCGCGGCCAAGAGCCCCAAGACCCTTCCTTAGTTAAGGGGCGGACAGGGTTGAGACTAAGGTGTTAGGGCCGGGGGAGGAGAACGGGGCGCAGGGGTTTAGAGCGACTCCCAGGGCAAGGAAACCCCGAAGTCCGTACCGCAGGTAGCGGAAATAGAGAAAAAGCGAAAAACCCAGGGGAAGCCCGGGCGCAATATACAATATGGCGTAGATATATTATAGCAGGCCACCGGCGTGGCCTGGACATATGAATATCCAAAATTCTCCAGTCTGCTTTCGATCGTCCGGGTTTAGTGGCATGGCTTAAACTCACGGAGACTTGTTGGAGCCTGATCAACCCCGGCAATGCCAAGTAATAGTCGCAAAGGGTATCCAGGGCCCTCAGGCTCATCCTCCATGGAGAGGGCAGCAATTGGATCTCCCGCTTCGCATCCAAACCCTACAGATGAATAGTATCCTCAACTCGAAACGATATGTCAAGTACGTTTCCCTCTTCCTCTTCCCCTTCCTCCGCCTCCACCTCTACCTCTTCCCCCCTTTCCGGGCCCTTGTATATCGGAAATATCCTTCTTGCTAAGCCGTAGCGTGCCCCCAGTAAATTTCCCAATAGAAGGGCCCCCAATGCCCCTCTCTCTGCGCATAGCACTGCCCCCACCGCTGCCACTTTGTTTTTTACCAACTGTAGAAAACGAAGGCTTCTCAAGGATAATCCCATTCTCCTTCGCTTCTCTCCGCCGCGCTTCTTCCTTCTTGCTCGCCTTCCCAATAATCCCTTTGCGGTGCGACATCGGCATTTTCGTCTGCGAGAATATTGATGATTTAGCTCCAGCAGATTGCATGCGGAGATCGATGGCGCGGTGCCGTTTGGCGCCGGTTGGGTTAAGGTCATCAGCGCTATCGAGTAGATGCGACTCCTTTAGAAGTCTCTGAAGCGCGAGGTCGTTTTTCAGGTTTTCAGCATCCATGGCTTGATCTTCGGTGGTAGCGCCTGCCGCTCCCAATGTCTTTGTTTTTGTTGTTGAGTTCCTTGCTGCTTGAGAGGAGGATGGGGGTTTTGAGGTCTGTAGGAATATATATTAGAACCTGTCTTACTTTTATCTCCTATCGGATTTTTTGCCCATGGAGACAAGGGTAAAAATTCTTCTTGAACGGAATGAGACTATAGTAAAGAAAAACCCACCATAAACGCTTTCCGGGCCTGTTTAGCTAAAATATCTTTCGTTGAGTTCCATGAAGTCGTGTGCTCAACTACCTCCGCAGATCGGTGCTTCTCGCCCGCAATATCACTATCACCTTCGTCTGAAAGGCCTTCCCACTCATCATCGTCGTCGTCTGCCTCTGCCGAAGAAGAATGTGAGGGCTCCTCGGGAGTAGTATATATCGGTTTCACAAGTGCTTCTACTGGGCCAAATCTAGCCTCGAAGAGCTTGCGGAGAATATCTTGTTTTTCCTCAGCCGACGGAGATAGGTTTTGGAGGTCGCTGTCCTCGTCGTCACGTATTTGTCTCGTCACGATGACGACGTCCCGCTTCCTTTTACCCAGCATTGTAATGTATTCCCACCAATTCGGGCCTGACTCGTGGTGTCGATTGAAAGTAAGTAATCGGAGTTGTATGAAAAATAGTCCGGGACGAAATCTGCAAATATTTTGCGCAAGACATAAGTTAAACTCATTTGTGTCATCGTGCGGGTAAGTTTAAGTCACGTGCTTTATAATTCGATCAGCGGAAAGTTTCAACTCCGCGACAAGTTACATATAACACTCCTGCGACGGATTGAACGAATTTGCGGAATTGATCTATCTGGAAGAAAAGATAAAGAAGAGAATGACCCGTTTTCGCCCATGTATTGATTTGCATGCGGGCCAGGTCAAGCAGATCGTTGGCGGTACGTTGACCTCCACACCGGGGGAATTGAAGACGAACTACATATCCTCCCACCCGGCCGGATATTTCGCGAAGCTCTACAAGGAACATGGCTTGGCGGGCGGACATGTTGTGATGCTTGGAGGAGGCAATGAAGAGGCCGCAAGGGAAGCGCTGGCCGCCTGGCCTGGGGGGTTGCAAGTCGCCGGCGGCATTAATGACAAGAATGCACAATATTGGATAGAAGCTGGCGCCGAGAAGGTCTGTGTTAGTTTATCTACTTTCCTGTGCTTTGAATTTAATTTTGTGCATTCGGTGTTTTCATGATTAAATGTTATATTTTACCCACTATTGTTTGTTTTTCTATCACCAAGTTTGCTCGTGCAAAGTGGCTCATACCCTGCAAATGAGTAGTAGGTGGTTATTACATCCTACCTGTTTCCCGAGGGGCGGTTCTCTCTTGATCGATTACAGACGATACTCTCCGCACTTGGGAATGACAAGTCTAAGTTGGTACTAGACTTGAGTTGTCGGAAGAAGGGAGACTCTTGGTTCGTTGCCATGAATAAGTGGCAGAAGATAACGGAAATGGAGATCACGCAAGGTATATATATTTTTCCATCTAAATATATATAGAGGAACTCCTGTCGCGGTATTTACTGACTCGATTTGCAGAGACCATCGCAATGCTCGAACCATACTGCTCCGAATTCCTCATTCATGCTGCGGATGTGGAGGGCCTGCAGCAAGGAATTGACGAGGCGCTGGTGTCAAAATTGGCCGAATGGTGCACCATCCCAGTAACTTATGCCGGTGGCGGAAGGAATCTGGGAGACCTCGACCGTGTCAAGTCAAGTAGTGGAGGTAAAGTGGACTTGACGATTGGGAGCGCTCTAGATATATTTGGCGGCTCTGGGGTTACTTTTTCGGAATGCGTGGAGTGGAACAAGGCGAATGGAAGCTAGAAAATTTCGTACCGCCCTTAACGAGAAACGACCAAAATTCTAGAATTTGAAAACGTATTCACCGTATATTAGGGGCGCATGTAATTCAATAGCGATTGGAGATTCCATACGCAGTATGTCACCATTGCGAGCACGTTCATCATTGATGGTCACAATCGGGGAGCTTTTAGCTAGGCTTAGCTGCAAGACAATGATCTCATCTTGTCAAGAAGAGCTATACTCAAGGAAATAACTGATGGGTCCGAGTGAGATCCTGTAGGCTACTGGGGCAAAAGAGCTCAGTCACCACCAGCGCACTGCTGGTAGAAGGGCCGATCAACCCGGGACCCCCAACAGATCCAGAGCTACTTAAGTAAGTCTAGGCCCCCATGCGCGATCCTTGTAACAGGAGATTTATATTGTAGAAAGCAAGGAGGATAGTTTATATATATACAGAATATCAGTTAACCTCCTTTCTACACTTAATTTACGCAATTGGACCATAAAAGCTAAACATGCCTCTAGGGTCGAAAGCCCGTTTCAAAGATTTCAAGCGGTTCTGCCGCCATTTATCCGCCCCATACCAATCCTTAGGCGTCTCGTCGCCATAGGCGTAGTTAACATACGCATTCAAGCTACTTTGGCCACTTCCCTCGTGGAGGATCTGGCGAATCTTGTTGCCGAGTTTCATCGCTCGGTCATCCAGTTGTTTTCCGTTCGGCGTGTAGGTGAGGAGCGGTGCGGCGAGCAGGTTCTGGGAGCGGTAGGCAAAGGCCGAGGAACCATCCGGGATCGCTCTTACGGCCTGCATCGCATACCCTTCAAACATGAAGAGTGAGTTGCTGAAGGGGGTGCCGGGGCTGGTGGTGGCCTCGACGAACAGATCGTATACCCGTCGCTGCGCGGAGGGGTTGTATGATTTGAGATAGATGGGGAAGCGCGGGTTGGCGTTTCCGGTTATCTGGCAGGGCGTGTCGGAGAGTGAGATGCCTGTCCACCTAGCCAGGTCAAGATAAGTTCCTGGAGTGGACTCTTTGGAGATTGGCCCCAGGTCATGGAAAGGCTTAGTATATGCTGGGTTGACGGTGTCTACCCCTTCCTGGATGAGATACATGACGACGACCGGCTATCGAAGTTGATTAGATTTGTTATGACAGACCCCAAATTGGCATTTGGGGCACACGCACCTTATTCGGGTCAATTGTAGGATCGAAAAACCAGTAAGACCAGTTGACAAGATGAACGGGCATGGTCCCGTTTGTCAGCCACATCTCGTTGGCAAGCTCATAAACCGCCTCGACCTTATCGCCGCTAAAGATGATAGTCTCCAGCGCATAATTGCGGTGCTTGATATCGTAGATTTTGGAAACCACAGAGGTGACAATGCCAAAGTTGTGGCCGGCTCCGTTCATCGCCCAGAAGACATCGGAATTCTTGTCCACGGTGACCAAGCTGCCGTCGCCCTTGACGACTCTCATAGAAACGAACTGGTCCCCAATGAGACCATGATGGCCTTGGAGCCATCCGTGGCCACCTCCCAGGGCGGGACCCAGGTAGCTGACACATTCACAGGTTCCAGTCACTGCAATCGGAGCTTAGCTATCAGGACCGTTGTTGTATATAGGACAGTCAGTCATATGCGGAATTGATCGATAGCTACTGACCTGCTTGTTTTCCAGCCGCCCACAACGTGTCCGTGACCTTCTTGGACTGAGTTCCGCCGCCAATTGTGACCGTTTTCCCATCACCGGCTATTTTGATCCTGTTCAACTTCTTCAGATAGATCTCGATGCCATGGGTCATCTTTTTGAGAGTGGTGGTTGCCCCATGACGGCCATTTACCGCGAGGAAGGGCAGGCGTTTGCAGTTTGCAAACTTGACCTGAGCCGCAGAGAGACGACGAGGAGTAAGCTGTCACATCCTTTCATCGCAGACACCTTTTTTGATTGAAAATGAAGAGAAATTGCTGCTTACCGTCTTGACAACATCATCTTCGGTGCCGGGAACAACAACAACGTTTGCCACGGGCACTGCCAGATTGGACCATCGTGCCACTGCGGCGTCGAACTCGTCCGACCCTGGTCGGTAGATCTCGGCGGTGGACGAGAGTGTGCGCCCGAGTTCAGTGAAATCCACTCTGCCACGAGCGTCAATGCTGGAGAAAGGGTTGCCCTGGCTTGCTACCGCAGTTGTCCATGCGACAAGCGCCGCAAGTGGAAGCTTGAGTCGAAACATCTATGGGGTATCTAAGTATCTATAGATATCTCGAGAGCGCGCGAAATGACAAGGAACGATAACAACAGCAGCAGCAGCAGTAACAGTAACAACAACAGCGAGTGACTGAGCTACCCCCTGTGCATAATGTGAAGAGAGAATTCCACCCTCTCAATTTTCTTTAAAAAGAAAAGGCGGGAAATTGCAGCCTGTCGCTTCTCTGCCATTCGTTGAGAGTGTTTCCCATCCCTGACAACCTATTTTCTTAGCATGGGATAACTCATTCTCCGTACAGGAATCTTCGGCTAGCCGAACCTAAAATGTTTCATCTTCTGCTCAGGAGAAGAAAATTGCTCAGTCCTTTCTTCGCTGTGCATCCGATTGTGAAGAGTTGCATATGTTCGCTTGCAACCCTTGCTGGCTGTTGCATGAACCCAGGAAGTTGCTGTTCCGTTTAGAGCTTGTCAAGGTTGCGGCTAGTGTCCGGGCCTTGCGCCTAGAACACATTCCCCGGGAAATCCACGGCAGGGAGGCTGCAACTAACTCCTTGTTGGCGTGAGGGTTGCAGCTACGGGAGGCGCCAAGTTGATCCGTTCATAGCCCACTTGAGGGATGATGGATTGATCGATCGCCTTACGATCACCTTACTCTGCACCTTTTACGGCAGGTCGTTCAGCACGCGTTAAGCGACCCATGCTATTCAGCAAGTATGATAAAATCATAACTTTGGCCTATGAACATCTACGAATATAGAGTCCGGAACTTAGGCTAGCCTACTGAAAAGATACTAACATACCATGCCATGTTGTCAAGTAAAATTTCCTGGCTCGTGTTGAGGGCTCGTCAAATATGCCATGACTGAAATGGCTAAGCGACGGGCACTCCTAAAAAATTCACCACCGATTGCCTCTACTCAAGTGTATCTCGGAGTGCCGGTCGCCATCTGAATAATGGCTGCTTTTGCAGAATCTTTCCGGCGTAACTTTCTCGGACAGCCACTGGGACTTCTGGAACACGCCTCCTCTCTCCTCTCCGCGATTCCTCGTACTCCAGCACCACTACACCAGGGGTCACTTCTCCCCGGGGTAGAGAGAGGAAACCCAGCCGCTGCAAAATTTGGACCTTGTGAATTGTCTGGGTATATTTCTCTCAGTGGATTGGACCCTGTTTAATGGAATCAACATGCACATAAACACACAGAGGTATAATAAGCAGTACACCGCACTCGTTCATGAATCGTCGTACAATCGCCTCGCGCTACCCGACGGGTCTTGACTCACTCTACCAACCCGATCATCGTCTTTCCTCTTTTAATCTAATGTCCGACTCCGAAGCGGCAGCCGCAACGGCTGTAGCAGCGACCGTTCGCGAATTCAATGTTGAGCTATGGACACAGTATGGATTCGGCGTCCTCATAACTGCTCTCAGGTCATATGCTCGAGTGAACGCCGTAGGTTTCAGAGACCTTCGGGTAGATGACTACCTCATCTGGTTTGCCATAGTACGCCGTTCCCTTGGGAGACTCCTGGGTGCCATTTATCCTTCCCTCAGAACAAAACCTTCATCGCCCTTACCATTGCTGACCCAAACCCTCAAACTTCTACAGTTATTATACTCTGCCCAGTTCACGCTGGCATTCTTCGCCGTCAATCATGGCCAGGGTCTTGCCAACAATGGTATGACAGATGCCGCGCGAGCTGCTCTGGATCCGGACTCTGAGGAATACCGACTCAGGTACACGCTCTCTTGTGGTAGATGGGGAAGCGCATAGTCCATGGCTAATTTATGCGACCTCAACTCTCTTAGGGTGTTCGGTTCTAAAATTCAAGTGATAGGCTGGACCTGTTACTCGTTCTTGATTTGCATGCTCAAGATGTCAATGCTTGTTTTCTACACGCGGCTCATGGTATGTATGTCTGTTTGGACAACGGCACCCTCGTCTGGCCCCCGTAAATTTTCACCGGAAGCCTTTTATGTTAATTGCATGAATGTTTGACAGGAGGGCCTTAGCAGGTATTTCAGCATTCGCATCTGGTTCGGGATTGGGCTCGTTGCTACAACTTTTCTCGCATCAGTTATAACAATTTATGCAGCATGTCGCCCGGTCTCTAAGTACTGGCAGATCAATCCAGATCCTGGTAGTAGGTTCCCTTATTGTTTTTTGTCTCTTTTGTTCCGTCTTGCCTCTGTGTGTTGCCCCGACGCCTGCTCACTGTCTTTGCTCGTTAGACAGGTGCCAGGGTGCTGTGAGCAGGCCAATTGTCTTCGTGACATACATCGCAAGCGTGCTCACCGATATCTACCTCATTATGATACCCCTTCCAATGCTTTGGGGTACAAGGCTAAAATTAGCAAAGAAGATTGGCGCCACCATCGTGCTCGGTGCAGGAGTGTTTGTCCTCGTTTGTGCTACTTTGAAGACTATCTTCGTGGAAGTGGTAGGTTGACTCAATCCTGCAGCGGATCCGCCCCTATGTCCATTTTTAGATCAAAGTCAGGACAATCGATTCTTTTTTTTTTTCAACTAACTTCACCCTTACTTACAGGATCCCATCCACGGCGCAGAGCTTGCTGGGAGATGGGGTACGCGAGAGGCCTTCGTCTCAGTCGTCACCACAAACCTCCCCATGATGCTCCCCCTTGTCAGGATGTGGCTCAAGCCGCTATTGGGTAGCGCAATCTTCTCGTCTCGCACGCCATACAAACATCCAACTAGCTTCCGAACCATCGGCGGCGGCGATGGATATAATAAGAACAACTCCCACAAGTCTTCTAGTAATAAACGTCGTGGACAAAAAGCTAGCTCTAACAACCAACATACAACGAGCGGCACCATACCACTCACCGAGAGCGAGGAGCAGATTTTTCAGGATGTAAAGTTGCAGAATTTGAGAGTTTCTGCGGGGCCGCAGGCGGCGACGGCCGCGCCTCAGCAACAACAACTACAACCACAGGATATAGTTGTTTCTACGGAGTTTCACGTTACTGAGAAGAGAGCTGGGCGTAATGCCATACGCAGCCACGAATCGTTTTAGCTGTATATATGATTAATTTTGTCTTGAGCGAATTTATACTCTGATTAGTTAACAAAAAGAAAACAAGAAAACTGAAAGCTAGCAAGCGCTGCGTTTCATTCATTCATTTATTTTTTCTGATTTTTAACGAGCTTTTCAAAGAAACCCTTGCTCGTTCTAGCACCTGAAACAACAGCTACATAACTACAACAATTCAACAACGTTGGGAGTTTCTTGTCGTTGTATCCGGCAGGGCAGAGTAGTTGGCCTAGTGTAGGCGTTTCGGGTAGTGGGGATCCAGGTCCCTGTCCCTAGCGTCTCAGCAAAGTTAGCATGCTTCATTTTCCCCCTTCCTTCTCGGCTCTCAAGAGCTATATAGATGTAACTATACTCCGTACTGTGTATGTATATTGTCGGGCCGCTCCGTCTCCTTTCATGTGATTTCCACCATATAAAAGCATCCTTGAAGCTAGCTATGCAGTTAGTGATCTCTTGGATCGGAATCAAGCTTACTACATACCATACCTCTGTCAAATATAATAATGTAGATTAGATTCCCTTTGTCGAACTTATAACTGACCAGGGAAGCCAGCAAAGAAGGCGAGAGGGGGCGCAGCAAATCGAGCTCCTCTATATTGTGCGGATACCACTGGGCCCCTGGCATGCTCCCCCTTAGCAAATTATTCAATAGTTAGTTAATTAAACTATGCTTTAGATAATTCCTTCCTGTTCTCGTTCCTAGTATGTACTTGTATGTACGGAGTACAGTAGTGTCCAAGAAGTCAGCATACTAGGGGCTCGGTGCTGAGCATCCTCTCATATATCTCTCTTCTTTCTTGATTTCTCAACCACTCAACATCCACCCTATGGGCTAAAATATGTCTTTCAAATCAAGAACATTTGCATAAAGAGCATTCTTCAGCTATTATCAATACTATTTTAAGTCTTCATGAGCAGGAATATTCATTTCTATCTATTACTCAGACTTTGAAACTACTCTGTCTGTTCTACCATATTCTTTATATTTTTTATAGATTGAGTACTACTGATACTAATACTGATATTACTCAATTTCATCCTCAATTTCATCATTAACTCTATTTTTATCTCTTATATAAATTACACTAATAAGGTGCGCGACTGTGAGTGAAGGCCAACTTACCAGCTTCCAGTTCCCAGCTTGGTCGGCAGGTTAATGGTGCTTTTACTTGCGGGACAGCGCAAGCCCCTGACAATCTGCCATCCCGGTCTTAACTACCCCTTGATCGTCTAGTTACATTTTCGTGCATACTCATGGCGTTGAACAAGAGAAAGTAAAAGGGAGAGAAGGAGGAAAAATCAAAAGAATTAAACTTGCACACCATCTATACCATCTATGTATATCTGCATGTATGTACAGTACAGTACGTGTATAATGTATGATGTATCCTAGGTATCATTTGGAATGTCGCCATTCCCGTCCCACATCTAGCAACCAAAAGACAAGAAACCAAAAAAAAAAAAAAAAAAAAGAAGAGAAAGCCTTTCTTTCCTTCCTCCCAATTAAAACATAAAATATAGTAGGTAATATAAAACAAAACAAACGTCGATCGCTTTCTAAACCACGCAAAACCCAAACTGGAAAAAAAAAAAAAAAAAAGGAAAGGAAAAGGAAAAGGAAAAGGAAAACCCTTACATCCCAACCCATCCACAGCCCAGTCCAATCTAATAAAATAGAATCTCAGCCAATCCAACACCTGCCTGTTCTTATTAACGGACGCTGGCTGCGGTGTGTGTGTCTGTGTGTGTGTGTATTGTGGTGCTGTATATTATCATACACGCCCTGAACTATTTCATTTTGATATTCCGCCGCTGGGTGGGTTCATAGTGAGACGGGAAACCGGGGGTAGTAAATATTTATGAACTTTCTCCAGTAAAATCGGTGATAAATATAGGTGATCCCCTTCCACTCCTTACGCTGTTTCGTTGGGTAAGGCCTGTTTTTCTTCTCTTTTTTTTTTCCTTTTTTTTTTCTTCTTTCCCCTTCCCGGACGAGAGAGCGCTGTGGGACGAGAAACGCCGAAGGTTTTTGTCTTGTGGATTTTGCGATTAGAGTTTCCCCATTTTGACCGATCCATTGCGGCAGAGGAAGAGAGGCTTGGAGGAGGGATTGGAACGGCAAGAGGGAGGGAGGTGTTTTGTGATGTGCGCGTTATGAGTCGGGGTGTATTTATTAATTATATTCTTTCGGAAAGAGGGGGCGTGAAAAATTTCTTTTAATTTTTCTACTCAGGTCGGTTATAGTAATGGGCCATTTCGAGGCCGGCGCGCTTGAAGCCGCACTTCAGATAGAAACCTTCATTGGCTTCTGAGCAATCGAGGATACTCTGTAGGAATGAGAGAATTAGTGAGGGGGTTCACATTTTAGCGGGAAACGATATGCAAAAATGTAAAAATAAATGCCAGCTGGGAAAGGGGAAAAATAAACACACCTTATAACACCCAACCTTCTGCGCCACATAATCCAACGCCTGAATCATCCTCAAGCCCAGCTTCTTCCCCTGCTGCCCCATCTCCACTGCAATATCCTCCACATGCCCCACCATGCCTAGCGAATGAATAAACTTGCGCTCAACAATCAGACTGCCGGTGCTCACCACCCTCCCAGACCCATCGCAGATGACCAGCAGGAAATACTCCCCGTTCCGCTTCGCCATCCAGTCATACCGCTCGTTCCACTGCTCGACGGTGAAGTCGCCGACGGTGGTCAGGACACGGAGCACGTTGAGGTAGCCGGAGAAGTAGTCTGAGCGCTGGAGGGGCCGGATTGTGTAGTTTTCTGGTAGTTGTTCTTGGACTGCTGGGGAGATGTAAGAGGGGCAGAAGAGGGGGGTGTTGTCGTCGTCGTCTGCGGTTGAGTGGGAGGAGGAGGCTGGAGGCGTGGGCATGGGTGCTGGGGAGGTGATGTGGGTGGTATTGCTGGTGCCATTGGCCGCTGTTGTCGTTGTGGTTGGCAGCTGGGAGGATTGAGTGGTGGCCATTGTTTCAATCAAGAGGGGATGAGTCCTTGTTGGCCTGCCGGGGTAGAGACAGAGAGATCGTACTGAGGTGGATAGCTCCGTGCGTTCTTCTTTCCTTTCCTCTGCTATTTTCGTTGATGTGTTGATGTGTAGATGTGTTGATGTGAAGATATGCAGGTCGGTTTGCAGCTTAAGCTAGTTGCAGAAGTTGGGGCGTGGTTGCGTGAGGACACGGATGAAAAACTGGGAAGGTGAATACAATGACACGCGTTAGAATTTAAGTTATGAAAGGACCAGTGTACCTGAGAGCGTTTACAGCACAATTGAATTCAATGCAATATTCCGAAGTTTGATATCGAATTGGACAGAATTGCTTATTGTGGGAACGGATATATTTTATGTCGACGTCTCCTTGCTCTGGCCGGGGCGCAGTCGGCGTGATGTCTCATCAGCCTCCAGGTGGAGCTGCATCGGGTCTAGCGTGCGGCTTGTGCTTCTTTTTTAAACCTTCAATTACAATTGCTTCGCTCTTAATGTAAAATATAAACTTAATTAAAAACTTCTTCTGATTAATATAATTAATTTTAAATTATATTTGATTTTTAATCTGTTATTTATACACTGTTTTCAGAAAAAGCAGTTAATATTCAATAATTAAAGAAGATGAGATAATGTAAATATACAGAGAAGATTTTTAGGCGCCCTCCACATCCGGCCTAGCGTCACCCGTTCAGGTCGGTCGGGCGTGGCCCGATTCGGTTTGGCGGCTCTCGCGGCTGTGGCATGGCGTTACCCCCGTCGCCGCAACAATATAAGATGCTCCCCTTTTCCTCTTGTGAGCATCCGGGGATGTGGAACTGGAGTACAGTAGGCAGGCTACCTAGGTAGAACCCCTCAGGGCGGTGTGCCATACACTAGTAAGCAATTAGTAATCTTGGGCCGCACTCCTTTATCTGCATGAGCTATCCCATTCCAACATTCCAACAATTTATAGACTCAGTCAACATCAAAGTTTCTTTCGTTAATATCAAATCTGATGTATTATACATAATGCCTCTCAATTTACGATCGCCAAGCTGCGTGGCGATACAAGCAGCTCACCTAGCTGCCTGCTTGTCTGCAGTGACTGAGAAACTTGTTCAGAAAAACATTCAAGTTGTTGAGTATGAGGGGACCTTAAACCGGTGATTCGGGTATCCCGTGGTACTGAATAGATGTTTGCATGGGGTGTGCCGGACTCTAATCTATCTGAAGTGTGCGATCTCCTCATTACTCACGGCTTTGAACCTGGCGGAATCTTAAAGTGACATACTCGATTGGGGGATTGATGTTTCTATGTGGCTCAACCAGAGCACATCTGGTACCTCTCTCATTTCTACATCTTGCCTTAGATGAGTTTCAAGAGGTCATTTCATCTGTCAACTTGAGATACAAAACCCTAATTCCAAAGATACGGCCATGTCTTATTTCTTTAATCAGCAGGCTTGTGGCTCTACCAACTGGGATGCATCGAAATCCAATTGAACATGATTTGGTTGTTTTTCTTGACCAAGTTATCTTCCCCAGACTACCAGAAGGTGAAGATGAGGAGCATGAGCCAGAGGAACACTTTCAACAACGGGTTGAGCAGGCGCTATCTTATGTCCATGGGTGGGATTGGAAGCGAGAGGAACTGAAGTACCTTGAGATTGTTGGGAAACTTGTTCGATTCTAGCCAGATTTTGAAAATAACGGAATGCAAATGATAATGATGAAAATATATGTAATAGGTAGTGGCAAGGAGGTGGTGGCATGTAACAGAATAGCGGTTATGAGCCCGTCACAACCAGAGAAAAGGTCTGGATATTATTTTATTCAATACTTTTACAGTCTTGCCATTAAACTATAGATAAAATAAAAACATATAACATCATAGCTCGCATGGTTTATGATTATGGAGAAGGATTCTGTAAAGCATTCTCATTCACTAGCAACTTGGATGAAGCCAAAATGCAGCAGGGTGCGACATCAATACGCCCTGATTAGTTACTTTGACAAACAGGAAGTGACAGTTTTGCATCGCTTGATCCGACTCGAAGAAATCGGGGGCTATAAAATATGTCGAGTTAAAACTGGCTATTACCTCTTGCCATCCTGTTGGGTATACGCCTAAAGCCGGATACTGGAGCTGGTAACGTGCTGGTTTATTATTCTTTCATTCCCCCTAATATTCACAGTTTCCATCATCGCTACATGCTCACACTTTCACTATTCTGCTTGTTGACTGGCTCTGCCTGCTCAATCTGCCCTACTATATATACTTCTACATCATATCCTGACTTCAGGCAACTACGAACTAACCTTGCCATGAACAGAAAGTTTTATGAGCACCTACTTTCTCTCCTTGGGGCTAATCATCAGCTCAGGGCGGACATGGGTATCAAATTCCTCCTCAGTGAGAGCTTTCAGCTCCATAGCGCTCTGCTTCAGTGTCAATCCCTTCTTGTGTGCATTCTTGGCAACTGCGGAAGCCATGTCGTATCCGATCACCGGGTTCAGGCAGGTGACAAGCATCAGACTGTGGAAGTAAATTATGTCAGCCACCAATTTCGAGGAATCAACCGCCTTGGGAGAGAGTTACCTTTCATGCAACAGGGCTGAAATCCGCTTCTCATCCGCCTCAATCCCCACAACCAAGTTCTTCTCAAAGGAGCGCATTCCGTCACCCAGGATGCGGATGCTATGCAGCAGATTGTTGATCATGACGGGCTTGAAAACATTGAGCTCGAACTGGCCGCTCATGCCCCCCACCGTCGCCGCTACATGGTTACCCATCACCTGTGCGCAGATCATCGTCAACGCCTCGCACTGGGTCGGGTTGACCTTGCCAGGCATGATCGAGGAGCCGGGTTCGTTTTCCGGCAGCATGAGTTCACCCAGGCCGCAGCGGGGGCCTGAGCCTAGGAAGCGGATGTCCTGCGCGATCTTGAAGAGGGAGCAGGCGAGGGTGTTGAGGGCACCTGAGGCCTCGACGATAGCGTCGTGGGCGGCGAGCACTTCGAATTTGTTAGGGGCTGTCTTGAATTCCGTGCCGGTCATCTTGGTAACTTCCTCTGCGATGGCCTCGTCGAAACCCTTGAAGGTGTTCAGGCCGGTGCCAACCGCAGTGCCTCCCTGTGCGAGATATCGAAGGTGTGGGATGGAATTTTGAACGCGCTCAATTCCCCGGTCAAGCTGGCCGACGTAGCCGGAAAACTCCTGACCCAGCGTGAGAGGGGTGGCGTCCTGCAGGTGGGTTCGTCCGATTTTGATGATCTTGTCGAACTGCTCGACTTTTTGTTGGAGGGCGTTGCGCAGGCTGGTGAGGGATGGAAGCAGAGTTCCCTCGAGTTCCAGAACAGCAGCAATATGCATAACGGTGGGGAAGGTGTCGTTGGATGAGGCGGACATGTTGACATGGTCGTTGGGGTGGACGGGTTTCTTGGTGCCCATGGTGCCGCCCAAGATCTCGATGGCGCGGTTCGAAATGACCTCATTGGAATTCATATTGGACTGGGTTCCAGAGCCGGTTTGCCAAACAACAAGAGGGAAATGATCGATAAGCTTAAGCGATGCAACTTCTGCAGCAGCCTGTTGGATCGCCTTGCCAATAGTAGGATCTTCAACGGAGAAAGAGCAAAGAAAAAAAATTAGTTGGAGGATAATCGGTTGAAATAATAGGAGTTATTCACCAAGTCCATATCTCATATTCACAGTCGCAGCAGCACCCTTAAGGATTCCGAAAGCCCGTACGATGGGAGGTGGCATACGGTCTCGCGGTTGGTTGATATCGAAATTGGTCAGAGACCTACACAATTCCCCCACCAGCGGCGTCAATTTACATCGTGCTTGTTAAGTCGTAAATGCTTTTTCGGGATGTTTCTGGCATGCCTACCGTTGAGTTTGGGCTCCCCAGTATTTATCCGCGGGGACCTATACACAACCTGGAGTAAGGAACTAAACACCTAACTAAACGCCCTTCCAAGTACGACAGCTGCAGCGCATCCTTACCTGGATTTCGCCAAAGGCATCGGTTTCAGTTCTCGAAGCCTAAAAAAATATCAAAGCAAAAACAGACCCGTCAGAAACCAATCCAAACACATTGAACCTTTCCCCCCCTCCACTGCGGAAGAAACGAGAGAAAAGAAAAAAGGCAAACGCCGCACCATCAGAGCGCCCGTAGTAGCAAACCCTCTCTTTCCCAAAGTCTCAGAAATGTTCTTATAAACAACCGCACGATTCAGATAGTGTGTTCGCGTGTGAATCCGCGCTGGTAAAGAAGATAAGCCGCTTATCGATCTACGCGCATTGGACCGCGATGCAATAAGAGTGGACAGAGGAGATGATCTCGCAACAGAAGAAAATAATATAGATGATTGTGCCGATCGAGATACGTGGGAGAGAGTTGACAAAGACCGCACAGCGGCAGAGGCGGTGGAAGTGGCGGCGTTGGAGGGTATTAGCACCATGATGATGGATGATGATGTCGCTGGTCTTAGCGGCGGGGGGCGGACGGGTTGCGGCCGTTTGTGCTTGCGGCAGGGAAATGTCGGGACAGGAACAGCCAGCAAGCAGCAAAGTTTGAAACTGGCGGAGAAATCTTGGAAAAGTTGGAGGGGAAAAGAAAGCAAATATGAAAATCTAAAAAGAAAGGGATTGGCTCAATTGCGCAGGGAAAAAACGATCTGCTTTTGTCTATAATAATATACAGCCTCTATAATAAAGATAGAGAGGAAAAAAGGGAAAGAAAGAGAGAAAAAGAAAGAGAGGGAAAAAAAAAAAAAATTGTAGATTTGAAGATTTGACGATTCGCTGGGTTTGGACAAGTCGCCGGTACGGTACGGTAACTACTGCGTATCACCCGGTTTCCTCCGGTAACCCGCTTAACCGTATCCAGCTCGTCGGTCAGCAGATTTTGCAGACAGCAGAGCCCACAGATATGTTTCCGTACGGTAAGAGTCCGGCAATGGCGTATTTTGCCGAGATTGGAGCTAGGCCGGATCGGGGATGGTCGGTTTTATGTAGATATTGAAATCTTTATCAGTTTTGTCTTGTTGCTTCAATCAATTGCTGTTGAAACTACCCGTACATTGTCTGTCCACGGGTACAATGTACCGCATGGATGGACATTAATGTTGTGTGAAAGCATTCATGGCAAAGCGAATCTTTTAACTCCCGTTGTTTAGCTCTGAGCAGTGTCCAACAACAGTGGGCGTCTGGTTAGGAGGTTCCAGGGGGTTTCGTTTCTCTAAGCTAAAGATGGACGAACAATCTACGAGTAGCCAGTTTTATATTTGAGTCTCCTCATAGATTCAAGGCAGGCCAGACAAGTATACAATACCAGAGTATTGAAGGATGCCAATCAACAAAAACTGGAATAAATTAACTAAACCAGGCTCAATTTAAACTGCAATTGCGCGCTCATCATCTATACTCCACACAAACGGACCATCTTCTACTATCTTCCAGCCAATTCTTTTCACCCCCCCAGAGCCTTCCCCAGCGCCTCGATGCTCTTCTTATTAAACATCTTCCCTGCATCCAGGATCTCATCCAGATGGGAAAAGGTGTGCGGCACCCCCAGAGCTCGAATAACCTCCACCTCGACCCCGGCGGCCTTGAGCTTTGCCGCATATGCCTCCCCTTCATCCCGTAGCGGGTCCATCTCCACCGTCCAGGCGAGCGCAGGTGCGAGGCCGGAGAAGTTGGGCGCAAATATCGGGGAGATTTTCCAGTCCTGAGATTAGGTTTTAAGTTAACATAAAACGAAAACAGAGTTGTTTGCGTTTTAGCGACGGCAATGTCAATGTGACAAAAAGTACTTGTTAAAAACAAAAATGTACATACATCCGCTGATTTCTCCGGCCGAGGGACACCCAGGAAATGCTTGTGGAAGAATGCCATTCGCGCGGCTGGCAATGCGGCGGTGAATTCCATCTCGCGGTATGATTCATACGGCGTGTTTTCGCGGTCGAATTTGCCCTCTGGCGTGAAGGAGCTGTGCATATCTGTTACGGGGACAATAAGGAGTTGGAACGCGAGTGGATAGCCATTGTCACGGCACATGTGAGAGATGACGGCACTGAGATGTCCGCCTGCTGAAGCACCGCCCACTCCCATCCGGTTGATATCGATATTCAGTTCCTCGGCTTTGGAACGGACCTACGGGGAGCACAGTAGAGTGATATATGATTAGCTTCTACATGTGAGGGGTTTTTCCCAACATGCCATGCCATATATACACATATGGTGGATGGCGGGAGCAAGAATGAAATATATGTACACACCCAATTAAACGCCGCCCAGCAATCCTCAATACCAGTCGGATACCTAAACTCCGGCGCAAGCCGATAATCCACATCAACGGCCACAACACCCCCCTTCAAGTCATGCACGACGCGTTTGCAAAAATCGTGGTCCGCCGGCAACCCGCCAAACACCCACCCGCCGCCGTGGAAATTGACGTACGCGCCCCTCTTCTTGGGCTTGCCGTCGCTGCCCAACACAGGCTCGAGCTCGAAGATGCGCAGGGTGATCTTGCCCCCCTTGACGGGGCATTTATGCTCGGAGATCTTATGCACGTCCGGGCCCGCGGCGCGGCCGTAGGAGATTAGGTATTTGGTTGGGTCGGCGCGGAAGTCCTCGATGGGGACTTGGTGAGTGTGGAAGCGGCCGACGTTGTGGCGGTTGTAGTGCTCCACGTAGACGGGGTCGAAGCGGGGGAGGAGATTGGGGGGGATGCTGTTTAGGAGGGGTTGGTGGATGACGACTGGTTTGAGGTCGTGAAGGGACTGGAGAGCGGCAGGTAGGTGAGTGGATGGAAATTGGTTGGTGGTAGGTGTCATGCTTTTTTATTTTGGTTTGGATGGGATGGGTGGGGAGTGAGGGGTATAGGATTACTTACCTTGTTATCTTCCGTCATGGCGAGCTTGGAGATGGTTATACTCTTGGATACTTCAAGGGAAGGATAACAACAAACGATATAGATATAGTTCTATAGCTGTTCGATGCAGTGTTGCAATTTGAATCATGAGGAAAGATACCCGGTACCAAGAAGGAAAAATCTGGAGAAACGGGAACTATATAACAATAACCCTCTCCCATCTATATAAGTTATCTTCAGCCGTAGGATTTACGCCGCTCCTATACTCACTCCACTACGTCCACTTTTGAAAGCAGCCACCCCTCAGTTAATCAACATCAAAATGCAAACGTGGGGTTCATATAACTTTGAATGCACCAATATAGGTCTCGTGGCTCGGATTAACAGTGCTTTGACTATGGAGAACTGCCAATTCTATCAACATCTCCATCGTAAATGAACTCCTCCCCCCCCACGTTTTTGCTTTCGGCAATGCATCAGGCAAAAGCGGATTCAACCCCGCAGCGGCTCTTTGGCCGAACGAATCATCCGCCACATTTTGTACTGTATTGTATGTACATACAAGTACTAAGGCCTGCATCAGTGTATATCGTCCCTCGTGGATAAAAGTTGAGTTACCGCCCAATGAACAAGTATATAACGTACAGTACAGTACAGTACATATGTCGCGACCTGGCAGCAAGATTTGCAAAAATTCCGATAAATAACCGAGGCCTTTTGTTCCACTATATTGTGAAGTGTTCAGTGGATTCTATGCTTTTCTTTTTATGCCCTTTTGCTTTCTTTATTTTTTGTGTAAATATTGTAGCCGGGACGCCACAGGGGACGAATCGAATCTATGATACTCGACTGCGGGTAAAGAAGCGCCCCTACTTTACACCTTCCACAACAAAGGCTTAGGCTTATTACAGTTCGTTCATTGTGCCGGGCTGGCCTGAGAGCATCGAATGCGTAGCATAATGCAAACGAACTCGTGGCAGAATGGCTGCTTTTGGAGACTTTAGGTTGAACAAGGGAATCCATACTTCAAAATTGGTCTTCTAACGGTCGTTTATCACGGTCTGGACTAGGGTTGGCCAGGGCATGATTTGCATAATCCAATATCCATCATGTTTTGGATATTTCAATGCCAATTTTTGAACATGGCACATATATTTGCGGGGGGGGCCATCGCGGCTGGGCTCTTAGATGCTAGCAAAACCCCTTGTGGTGGTTATCATCATTGCGCGGAGTATACTCCGTATAGTTTACTCGTGATATCAGTTTTTGCCTTTTCCGCAACACAACATTCAAAATCATTATTATTGGCCGGCACTTGCATTTCGAAAACTATATCTAAGCCCGGTAACTTAACTAGTTAGTAAAGCAAGCCAGAGCGGGAAAGCATAACTAATCACTTAAAATAGACGCCGGTCTTTTTGAAACTGTGGCTTTTGTTACTATCCCCAGTAGTTAGTTACATCACAATTAGTTATATGAGGAATCTTCCATCTTGAGTAGTAAGTAGATTGCCTAAGCTAATTTAAGTTACATTAACTCATCAACTCTGACATTGAGTGTAAGATGAAAGGGGAGCGCGAGCGAGCATCAACCTCGCACCGCGAACCAATCAACGCAGTTCAGAATACGAAGCGCATACTTTCTTGGGCATATATGAACCCCATTCATTCAATGTTTATCCCTCCAGGGTCAGTATGTCGGGCGTTCAAGGCTTGTTAAATGTTGACATGCTGTCTGTCTCCTCTGTTCCTGGCTTGTTATCGCTTTTTTTATTTTATATCCTGTCTATTTTCCGAGGGGGGATAACACCCTGATTACGCGCTGATCTCATTCTCTGAAATATATGCCCGAAGCTTAGTGTTTGAAGCTGTCGGGCCTGAATCTGTAAAAGAGTGGTCTTTTCCAATAATTTGCTTCTATGATTGTTTTTGTCAGACCTTTTTTCCCTCCTTTCAAAGTTTGTGTTGCAATTTACACCGCTTGAAAGCCTTCGACCCAAAAATACCAATATACAATCGCTAATTCAACTCAACATCGCCCGCAATAAATGGCGACGAAAAAGGTTGCTATCATCGGCGGCGGTATGTGCAAAAGTTATCGTTTTAACCTGCCTATCCACACACTGAAAGTATAACGTACTAATCCGCCTCACAGGACCCTCGGGCTTAACTACACTTAAACAATGTTTGGCTGAAGGTCTGGATGCCGTCCTTTTCGAAGTACGCGGTGGAATCGGAGGGCAGTGGCGTTATGAAGACCCAAACCCGGAAACGGACGATGCCATATCATCCATCTATGAGGGAGTTATTCTAAACTCAACCCGCGATACCTCCGGCTTCAGCGATTTCCCCATTGATCCTGCCCAGTATCCGGAATATTTCGGTCATCGCCGGATGCTGAATTACCTAGAGAAATATGCTGAACATTTTGGATTGGGGAAGTATATGCGGCTGAATACCAAAGTGATGTCCTGCAACCAGCGGCCGGACGGGAGGTGGACTGTGGTGCACCAGGAAAAGGGCGCAGATCAAGTAACATCAGAATATGATGCTATATTTGCTTGTTCGGGACATAATTCCTATCCATCGACTCCTGTTTTCGAAGGGATGAGTTCCTTTCAAGGAGATATCCTTCATAGTCACGTATACCGGAGACCGGCCAGGTTTGACGGTAAAAAGGTTGCGCTCATCGGTTTCGGCTCCTCAGCCGTTGACTTGGCTTGCGAGCTGGTTTCCGTGGCGAAGGAGGTGCATATGATTACCAGGAGAGGCGGTTGGGTTATACCGCGCTTTGTGCTCGGCCAGCCTGTCGAGTTATACGATAGTGAGTTTATTGTTTTATTATTTCGATATTATGGTCTGAGACATGTTTTGCAGCCTCTTTATTTTAACCTGTAGAGTGCAACTCTAGACCGAATTGCTGAGACGCTCATACCTGGTGGGCTTTCACAATGGATCCAAACAAAGATATTGAACTTCGCCATCGGCGAGCATCCAGAAGTGATTAAACCACACCACGGTATAATGGAAGCCAACCCGACTGTGCATAGCAATCTGATCGAGTATATCAAAGTTGGCAAAATCCACGCCCATCGCGCAGGTGTAAAGCAGTTCAACGAAACCTCTCTCGTCCTCACGAATGACACGGTTCTGGATGTTGATACAGTAATCTGCTGCACTGGTTACAACATGGATATGCCGTACCTATCCAAGGAAACGTACCATGTGGAGGGCAATCCAATCTTGAAATCACCAAACACCCTGGATCTATATAAGCTGGTCGTCTCCCCACGATTTACTAATCTTTTCTTTATCGGGTATGTCGAATTGCCCGGGCCTCTCCTTCCCGTTGCTGAAGCCCAGGCGAGGTGGGCGTCGGCCATATTGACGGGGAGAGTGAAGCTGCCATCAATGGATGAGATGAATCGGCAGGTGAAAGAGTACCAGGAGGAATTAGTTAGAACAGTATGTATATTCTCCTCGTGTTTTTCAATTCGTATATCTGGTCCCATTCCCTTCCACCAGGCTCAAAGAAATATCTCAAAAACGGAAATAAATTGCTACCATCGTAATCAAAAGCCCTTTCTCACCAATCTTCAGATGGTGGTCTCAGACCGTCACACAGCAACCGTCCGTTTCCTCCCTTACTGCGACTCTCTTCTCGCCGACCTAGATGCGAACCCCACGATCGTCCGCCTTTTGCATAAACTTTTCACTTCGAATCCGTTCCGTGCCTTCTCGTTGCTAAAAGCGGTGTATTTTGGCGTGAATTCACCCGCGCAATATCGATTATTCGGCCATGGACAAAAGGAAGAGCTGGCTGCTGCTACCTTGGTTAGGTTGAATGCGGGAACGGGGATAAGTGTCAAGGAAAAGGAGCTTATTGACGGCCAGGTTCGATATTGATCGAAGAATTGGTGGAGGGTGAAAATAAAATGTAAGATACTGGAGGGGGGCACAGGTGATGAGGGAGCATTCAAGATCTTTTTAATATGTGATGCAAGCATTTATGGCTTAAATATTACCAGCCCGTTGCAATGAGTATCGTTCGATCTCGCTTCCCAGTCTCTGAATGGGGGTGTGTGCTTCAAAAGCCCACCGCAAAAATCACGTCTAAATTTGGCAGGGAACGATAAATCCAATCTGATGAATATTAGAAATAACGAACCTCAGGCAGAAGGGACACAGGACAGACGAACAGGAAATTATCATCCAAATTCAAAGGCCCCCAACATGCGAGAATGCTGGTGACCGTGGAATCCGGGCATCTCGACTGCAGTGACTAGGCTCATTCCTTGCAACCAAGCCTCATGGCGATCTCCGCCATCTTGTTTAATGATTTGACACAAATGCGGCACAGGAGTTGCGAAACCCACAATCTCCAAACCTTAGTAGCCTGCTCTGCCCCCACAACAAGGGCATGCGCAGGGAAATGGAAGGTTGATTTTCACGCAGATCATAGCGAAGAGAGACCAACAGTTGCATCCACTGTTTTTTTCAGCTATCCCTGTAGGTGAAGCGAAAGCTCCTCTCACACTCGAATGCATGGTCAAATGGGATCTTGTTGGAGGTAGATCACCTTTAGCTGTGGAAGTAGCGGACATGGTTATATATACTGGACAGAGGCCAGTGTCAAAATTTCTGTTTCATTCTAAGTATTTAAACTGAAACGCTGATACTGGTACTAAGTATCTGTTGCATCTCTTAATTAAGGGATATTGACTTTCAGGGGGCTTTAAAGATATCAATGTGGCTAGCTCACGAACTCACTCAACGCTCGCTCAAATCTCGATGAGCTAGGCTAGATATTTCTGTGTAAATTCTCAGTGTGAGAAAAACGTTTGACACCGGCCTCTGTACTCCGTCCATATCGGGATATCGTGAGCCCTTTGTTGTATGTCAGTCAGGATTGGCCAGCCTCAGATGGAGCAACTCAGCTGTAGCATGTGTAAAATAGGCAGTGCCCGGTCCGTAGTATTCATTCCAAGCAACGCATTGACATTCAATCGCCAGTCATGGCCAATCAACTGCAAGAGAGAGAAGAAGGTATATATGACGATAGTTTTCTCCATAAAGCTGTTGTTGCATGGGTTCGCCTGCGAGTTGCTATGGCCTGTTTTGCGTACAGTACATTTCGCATCGCGATTCCATCCGTCGTAGATTGCCCTACGCTTCGGAGTAAATATTTTTGCCTTCCGCTGCCCCCGACAGTTTACGTCCAAAAAGAGTATCACCATGGTTACGACTCTTCCTAAAGTTTGAATCGCTAAGTTTTGAGAAGCCAAAACTAGCCCATGTAGCCAGGCAATCTAACCTAGGGAGATGCGCTAGCTGCGACTAACTAAACTGTCATCAAGAATGGCGTCAAAATTGTATTTTTGCGAACTGGCAGCACCGTTTGGGCTGTCAAACAAACTTTATTTGATATGCATACAAATCTCCTTACACTTTTTGACTTGTCCATGGTAAAGATTGGGTTCAACGCTCCATCTAGTAACACTGTGAACATCGCAACAGCATTCAAATGTGATGTACAATAAATCAGTTTCTCATCATCATTTATAGCGGATGATTAGCTTATAGATCAATTGTATTAACCGTTATAGCTCTCTTCCTGTTGTTGAAGG